ATTGCCTGCTTTTACTGCTGACTAAAGGAAAGACCAAATGAAGGAACGAGTGTCACTTAGTTATCTCCCAAGTCTTGCTCTTTCTGTATCTCTAGAAAAAGAAAAGAAAGAGAAGGCAGGGGAGAGAGAGGGGAGAAAGAAGTTTAGAAGAATAATACTACTGATCATAAGCACTAGTTTTTGATGCTTTCATAACATTTATTATCTGATATGATGCAAACAAAAACTACAAAATGTTTTATTTTCTTCATTCAGTCAGTCAACAAATGTTTATTCATTACCTACTGTGTGTATGCATGGTGTTTTGCACTTGGGATACTACATGAGCAAAATCACACATTGTCCCTGATCACATGGAATCAAGATGTCAGTTAAGCTATTTATCAAGTTATATTCAAAATTTATAAACATTGTCATTGCAGTAACTGTTAAATGATGATATACATGGTAAAGAAACTATTAGGAAAGATGGTTGAGTTAATATCAAGAGAAAGTCACTCTAAAGGTCCGAAAGGATGATTGAGCTGAGAATTAAGGATTAAACATATGGGAGTGATTACGCATTACAGGGAAAGAGATGAAGGGAGGTATTGCAGGAAAAGAGAGTGACACGTACAGAGATCTTGGTGAAGGCTGGAAACTGGGACCTTTTTTATTCTCTAGAAGAGTTTGTGTAACATTGGTATTATTTTTTCCTCAAATATTTGTAAGAATTCATTGGTGAAGCCTATGGGCATAGGGTATCTTCATGAGATGGATTTAAAATATGGATTTAATGCTAATAGATTTGGGAGTATTCAGGATTTTTACTTTCTCTTGCATTGTTTTTCATAAACTGTGTTTTCTAAGAAGCCTGTAAGTCTCTTTTAAATTTTTTTATTTAACAAATTTTAATTTGTTGACATGAAGTAGTTTATATTTTTATGATCTTTTTAATATCTGTAGGATATATTAATATGCTTTTTTTCATTCCTGCATTCAATAATTTTGTCTTCTCTATTTTTAATCCATATTCCTAAGAGTTTATCAATCTTACTGGTCATTAAAATGTTTTTGGGTCTGTTGATATTTTCTATCATGTTTGTTTTTATTATCTGCTCTATGAATTATCTATTTCTATTGTCCATTGTTTCTTTTATCTTTTAAGCATATTTCCTCTTTTTGTTCTATTTATTTTTGATTAGCAATATATATATAAATTATATATATAAATTTAGATCACAGGTGACATTATCTTCTTTCTCTGAAGAGGGTTTATGTTCATTTCTGACTAGTAGCTTGGTTCACTAGCTATCCCAGATCACATTAATCTAATTTTAAGAATTGACTTTATATTAGCACAGGTATATTTCAAGCTTATCCTTACTCCTGTGTTGCAAGAGAGTCCCAAGACAAAGTGTAATGATCAACCAGATTCTTCTTCACTTTTCCCCTAACTCTGTAGCATTGTCATAAATGTTCCTTGGATTCTTTACCTCTAACCTGCCTCTTGCAGAATTCATAGATCCCTAGTGGAGCAGAAGCTCCAAATATCATTGGATTTGTCTCTCTAGATTTGCCTTTCTTTCCCAAGTCCTAAGCTCTTAGTTTTTCTCTGCCTTTTTATCTCTGATGCCTTGAAGATTTTTTTTTCTAATTTTGTTCATCTTTTTACAGATGAAAAGTTGGGTTAATTTCCTCATCTATCATGACCGGAAGTGAAAGTTCTAAGGTCTATTTTTATTTTCTTCCCAACTGTTTATTTAAAAACGACACTTTTTAGAATGAGATTCAGTCATTGGCAACAACATGGATGGAACTGGAGCACATGTTAAGTGAAATAAGCCAGACACAAAGAAAGAAATATCACATGTTCTCACTTATCTAAAAATCAAAACATTTGAACCCATGGAGATAGAGAACAGAAGGATGATTACCAGAGGCTAGGAAAGGTAGTACAGGAGTTGTGGGGGAGTAGGAGGGAGGTGGAGATGGTTAATGGTTACAAAAAAATTGAATAAATAAGACCTAGTATTTGATAGCAGAACAGTCAATAATAATTTAATTGTACATTTAGAAATAAGCAAGAGTAAAACTGGATTATTTGTAACACAAAGGATAAATGTGTGAGGGAGTGGATACCCTATCTTCCATGATGTGGTTATTACGCTCTGCATGCCTGTACCAAAACATCTCATGTACCCCATAAATACATATACCTACTATGAACCCACAATGTTTTAAGTGACCCTTTTAAGTTGATTATTTATCTTGGTATTCTATGGTATGCTTCTCCTGTCATCAATTATTATCAGAATAGTTCTACTTTACAAATAATTTCAAATTCGTTACCATTAAAACTTCTTGCTTCAAGCCTTTATCAAATCATGAATAGAATGTAAGTTCCATGAAGGCAAGGAATTTGATTCAGTAATGTTTAATCAGCACTTTCAACGGTGCTTGGCACTTAATAAGCTCTCAACAAATATGTTTGCAATTGAGTAAACAACAAAAATTGAGTTGGATCTTTGGCATCCAAGTGGAGGGTCAGGAATTCTTTGTTCATTTGCTATGTAATGATTGATTATCTTATTTCTTTTTCAAATATATGATTGGATTTAGCTTGAAGACAATCTATAAGGAGCACTTATGTGGTGTGTTATATAGAGTAAGATTTCCTTATTTATTTTGTTTTGACCTTTGGATCTTCCTTTCAGTATATGATTCAAATAACTTGCCGTATCTTGAGAATTTACATGGACAATAAATTGGTGAAGAGAGAAGAACTGAATACACATCATACAGAGACTATATGTATTTTACAAACATGTAGTCCAGTCTAAATATATACATCTAGTTATAATGTGGTTCTGTGCACTTCTACTTGTTAGGACACTGATGACTTTCTTAGCTAGGAGTGATATAATGTGTCAGGCCTGGTTCAGTCTGTGTCTTCTCTCATTGCTTTAATCTGTGCCTTTGGCCCATGTACTAGCCTCAGAATCTCATCATGGTCCAAACTCGTCTGGTCAGTTGTATTAATAGCAGTCAGGTACAATTGCTGATAAGCCTTAAGTAGAAAATTTTTTTCTTGGTCTAATATTGCTTCAAAGTTATAAGTTTTCTGTCTTGGAAACATATGGTTCAATGTTTACATTTTAAACTCTACTGCTGTTCCTATGTGCAATACAGAGTCAGCTTAAAATTCACACAGCTTTCTTGTAGCAGTCTCACTCAATACAAGGTCTTGGCTCTAGTGTGAGGATGAGGGTTTGAAGGTCCTTCATTTATTTAGGCAGAAAACCTAAATGCAGAATGCTGTACTCCTTAATAGTGTACTGCTGACCAAAAAAAAAAAGTTTTGAAGGTACAAATGATATCATCATTTTTGTAAAGTGTTTTGGAAAATCAAATAACATATCCACTAATCAAAAGCTCTTTATTTCATAGTTGTTTTTTCTATCCCAGTACAATGTACTCCCTCCAATTACACTCTCTTGGGTTTAGATTTGGGTTAGTTGGTTAGCTGAGGAATTTTCCTATTCACTATTTCTTTCCCACCTTGAGCTATTCAGGCACTGGGAATGTAAATGAAACTTCAGCCCACTGTGTATGATTTCACATGTTTTGTTCAGCTTAAACTCTAACTACATAACTGCAATAGTTATATCACAGCTATGGGACTGGGTTTCCTGAGCCCTTGTTGCCAATGATTCTACCTGTTATGACCAAATTCATCATATTTTTGTATGTTTCTTATTGTTGTTGTAAACAGTGCCAACCTGTTTACTAAATGTATAACCCTTGGTAAAATCAGTTGTTTCACAGTCAGAATTCATGCTAAGGTAAAAAAAAAAAAAACCTGCTAGGAAAGATACAGCAGTAATTAGAGATTCTCAAGAGCAACACTTACGTTCTAAGTGGATTTACATTTGTTCCCCTTGGCCAAAGACTGGGGCTTTGATGTAATATAGTAGGCTGGATCTTTTGATTTTTTTACCCCACTTGATTTTTGAGAAGAGCAAGAGTGTTTCTAGCCAATCATGGTGCTATCAGCATCAGGTGATCTCTGGCCAGGGCCTCTGTGCATGTAGCATGTATGGTATAGTATAATAGAAGCAGGTTAAGATCATGGTTCAGAACCTAGGCACTGGCAGTAATGTTGGGTTCAGACCCGTCCTCTTCTTATTCAGCTTTTGGAAGTAATTTACCTAATGTCCCCAGGCTCATTTTTATCATTGGTAAAATGGATGTAATAATAGTTCCTAACTCTTGGGGTCAGTGATATAATTAAATGAGATCACCTGTATTAAGCACTTAGCACAGTGTCTGGTCCATAGCGAGTTCTGAATATACATTAGTACTCTTTCTATAGGAAATCCTCTTTATAAAATTGTAGATTCATTTTAAATGACTTAAACACAAATGGTTATAGTATCCAGGAACCTGCTTAGTTCAGATTTTAAGTATTTTTAGCTGAAAATCTTTGTTGTGCTCAAAGAACATGTTATAGTGCTACTTCTTGTTTCATCACATGAATACAATTTCTGTGCTCTGCTGCAATAGACTGACTTCTTTGTCTGCCTACTCTGCCTGCCTGGGATATGTGAACTATGCCAAGCCTTCTTACCTATGAATACTTCCTCACACTGCTCCCCTACATTTCTCTCCCACAACATATTTGTGACTGTTATCATAATACTTACAGACATTTTCCTCTTTTTCTTCCCTTTCAATAAGAATTCTTAATTGTGCAGACTCAGGATTGAGAGTGACCGACATGCCTAAACACACACACATTCATTCACGATCACATAATTCATGCAGTCTTTTCCAAAGCATGAAGGGCCTAAGCCTTCTTATAAATGTAAGATCGATCAAAAAATTTTTGAAGATTCAAATAGTAATCTCATTCATTTTATAAATTCTTTTGGAGACAAAAGGGAGTATTATGTGGGGTTTTCTTTTATCCTATTGGGCGGGCAGCTGGCCATTGAAGAGCCATTCATTGCTTAGTCCCGACACTGCCTTTCCCCATTGGCTCTCTGTAAGAGTCACATGCTTTGGGCGTCCTTGAAAAGAATCTTCTCAGGCCTCAGCATCTTATCTGAGTCTCCTGAATCCCACTTAGAACTGTGTTGAGCTCTCACCCATCACGATGAGCAACAAATTCCTGGGCACCTGGAAACTTGTCTCGAGTGAGAACTTTGACGATTACATGAAAGCTCTGGGTAAGAAATGCTTTTTGTTGTTCTGCTGAAAAGCTCCTTTTTAAGAAAGCTACATGACATTTTCATCTAACACCTTTAACAGGAGACTGGGGGGTTTGCACAGGCCGCAGTACATTCCTCTTTTAGGATTAATCTTTTTTGTGTCATTCAGACAATTTATTTGAATTTTATTTGTGGTAACTTTTAATAGACTTTAACTTAAATGAGAGAGCTGCTTAAATGCATGAAACTCCCACTGATTTCAAGGGCAATTTCATACCAAGAGAATTTTGGTTGCAGATCCAGAGGAAAGAAAGCTTAAAAGCATAGTCAACCCATTTTCTGGCTTTTCTGAGAGCTACGTTCATAGCAACTAAAGTGTTCATAAAATAAGGAATTGAATATAATGCAAATCCTAGAAAACCTTAATTTAAAATTTTAATTTTTAGCTAAACTAACAGTCTTTTCTCTCTACCTCTAGGTTGTCCTTTATTACACAATCATGTAGATACAGAGAGTTTGAAAAACAAAAATACTTCCTAAAATACTATGTTCATAGCCTAGGGAAGTTACTGAGAGAAAAAGAACTGGAGTTGTGGCAGGAAACTCAAACTCAATTTCACTATCATCAGACGTTTCTGGAGTTGGAGCAGTGAATGGAGATGGAAAACCGGGTCATTAGTTACAACAACTGTATTTTATACTATTTCTAGAGTATGTCCCATCGATATAAACACAATAGATATGAAGAGTCTTTGGGAATTTTCAGAACTGTATGAATATAACAAAGAGTGATGCCAGTGACCTGAGGTTGCTGTGCTTGTCAAAGTGCCTACAGCTTTACTTAACTGTTCAGAAAGCTTGTATAAAATGTTCTATTTTAGCTAAAATGAGCAAAGTCATGTCATTGTTGCCTGGAACACTAGGATGAATTCATACTGTGAGACCGGTTAGATTTAAAGACTTCACTTTACAGCTGAGGAAGAAGCCAAATAAAAGAAAGTGTCCATGAAGGATTCTCTAATTTCATTGTTTTCCAGTTTAGTGTGCAAAATAACACCTTGGGATTTGGTAAATATAAATTCTCAGGCTCGGTCCCAGAGATTACGATTTAACTTGAAAAACATTGTCCTAAACTGTATAAAATAACAAAAGAGTAATCAGAATTTGAAGAAAGAATATAGTTTATAGTTTATTGGCTATAACTCTTAACTTCTTATTCAGTATATAAAAATTTGAGATCGTTTTAACTGGAAAAAGTATATCCAAGCATTGAGACTTCCTGGAAAACTAGTTTTTCTTTCATATTTTTCTATTTGACGTTTTCCTTTTTCCATCTATTTTATAGTCTTGGTAATAATGGTAGTAAACTTAAGAGTCTAATTGTGTTTCATTTTTGAAACGTAGAAGAGTTTTTAAAAAAAATATTTTATCTATGATCATTTATAATAGTATAGATCTCAAAGGTAGATGGATAGTTGTTTTCCTACCAGCTAGATATAGAAGTCACAAAATTTCAGAAGTGAGATTCTATCAAAAATATGAGGGGAATACTTCCCCATATCCATAATATGGTATCGAGGGAAAATATCGTGGAACAATATGTATATGCTATAGTCTCATTTAAAAAATATATCTATAGTATTTGTACATGCAAACTAAAATCTCTAAAGTGATTTATGCAAATCTATAATTAGTAATTTTCAATGGGGAATAGGATTGGATGTGATAAAAATAGATGACTTGCACTAGCTATTTCAGCTGGAAACTTTAACTCTTGAAAATCTGCAGACATTGGCCAGGTGCGGTGGCTCACGCCTGTAATCCCAGCCCTTTGGGAGGCCGAGGCAGGCAGATCACGAGGTCAGGAGATCAAGATCATCCTGGCTAACACGGTGAAACCCTGTCTCTACTAAAAAATACAAAAAATTAGCCGGGCATGGTGGCAGGCACCTGTAATCCCAGCTACTCGGGAGGCTGAGGCAGGAGAATGGAGTGAACCCGGGAGGCGGAGCTTGCAGTGAGCCGAGATGCACCACTGCACTCCAGCCTGGGCCACAGAGTGAGACTCCATCTTGAAAAAAGAAAGAAAAAGAAAAGAAAAGAAAATCTGCAGACATTACTTTTCGAACAACAAAACCTAAAACGTGTGAGTACTGGGCATGTATTTCCATTGGGAGTGAAACATGGGAGGAGACGCTTAGTAGTAAGTGATATTACCTGCCATCGACACACCTGGGGCACCACTGAGCAAAGGATGTGGCCACCACAGTCTGTTTGGCTATGCTGTCTTGGTCACCATAATTCTAACACTATCTTAATTTTCAGGTGTGGGGTTAGCCACCAGAAAACTGGGAAATTTGGCCAAACCCACTGTGATCATCAGCAAGAAAGGAGATATTCTAACTATACGAACTGAAAGCACCTTTAAAAATACAGAGATCTCCTTCAAGCTAGGCCAGGAATTTGAAGAAACCACAGCTGACAATAGAAAGGCCAAGGTAATCTTTAATGTTTCTCTTCAAAGTTGGCCCAGTGGGCTGCTTGAGAGAGAGGAATATTCCTGCCAGTGCTTAAAAGGATAAACTCCATTGTGTTGAAAAGGAGTGTATCTCCTGAGACATCTATTATGAAAATGGTTCAGTACTGAAAGAACTGCTTCTTTGATCAACAAATTTCAGGCAAGTCAATTGCATGACCTTGTCTTTGCAGAGCATCGTAACCCTGCAGAGAGGATCACTGAATCAAGTGCAGAGATGGGATGGCAAAGAGACAACCATAAAGAGAAAGCTAGTGAATGGGAAAATGGTAGTGGTAAGAGTATTTTTACTTCTAAATAGAGAAATAATGCTATATAAATAATTTGATTATATTATTTTCAAAACATTATTTGTTCTTTGGAATATGAATGGATAAAAATGACTAAGAATAAAGTAATAGTTGATGCTTAAGTGATATTTAAACTATTACAGACTCATCTTCAAGTACTGACCCAAGATTTTAGAAATAAAAAAGGCCATTTGTTATTTTACAAATAAAAATACCTAAAAATGGTAGTAAGGTTAGAGAAAGTGTAGGTAAATCTTACCAGTTTGGACTCACAAAGAAGAAGGCAAGTCTAAATTTTAAAAGCAAAATACACTCTGCAAGGTGTATTTTGTAGACTATTTGTAAAGTCATTTGTAGACTATTTGCAGATATCCCACCATTTTTCATTCAAGAGCCAATACTAACTTAGAATCAATCATGTCAATAAAGCAAGCTGAGCTCATTGGAGACTTCTAGTTGGCAGATGAAAATAATGACAAAGGTTGTATGTGATGACCTTTGACCATTTTTTTAAGGGTTAAGGCTTTATATTCACTAATTAACACATACATTGAAGGTAAACAGATTCATGTACTCTTCCGGATGTTTCTTTCTTTAGTACAGTGGTTCTTACCCCTTGCTGCACAACAGATTTACATGGGGAGTAAATACCAATATGGAGGCCCCCAGACAGATAACTGAATGTACATCTCTTGGGGGAGGAGGAGCCATCACTATATTTAAATGTTCCCCAGGTAACACAAATATGTAGATTTTTTTAAAATCACTGAATTATTAGATTTAAATGCAAGTGAATTATACATAAAAACTTGCCACTTAAAAAAATTCCTTTACAGTGCCATAGATCAACTTCTAAATTGTTTCTTCTATTTCAATGGTCATAATTCTGAATTACTAGAGACTGACAAACTGATATTTTATTCCTTTCTAAACTAATCTTATGAATTTATTTTGAATTTCTATTTTTATTACACATTTTCTGTTCTCTGGTTTGAACTTGAGATACTCAATTAACCTCTCTCTTTTTTAAGGAATGTAAAATGAAGGGCGTGGTGTGCACCAGAATCTATGAGAAGGTCTGAAAAATCGTTTCCTCATTGAAGTGGCTTTTGATCATTTAATGATGGAAATCAATTGCTTCCATTGACAAAACCTGAATACACTGCAAATGTTTGTTTTCGCTTTTGTCTTAATATATCAGATAGGCAAAGGCCTAAACTGAGAATTAATCTAGAAGTCAGTGTTATTTAAACAGTTTTAATGTGCATGCATGTTATTACTACATTAAAGCATATATATTGGCCAGACACGATCAGTTGATGATGTCATTTAACTAACTACAAAATTCTAACCTATGTTGAACTTTGTATACTTGAAATGATAATAAAAAGGGTATAATTTGTTAGTAAAAGGAAATCAAGGTATTGATCATAGTAGCAAACTCAAATGCTGACAGGGGCTGGGGAGTTATGGGGAAGGAGCATCAGAAATGAGGCAAGCTAGGAGAATGAGCTATTTTAATGTAAAGAATTGTAGTCTCAGCTAAAAGGGGTAGCCTCTACTCCAGCCAACATTTTAAAATTAATGGATAATTTATAGACAGTTAAATGCACAGATATTAAATATAGAGTTCAGTCCACTGTGACAAATGCATGCACCCATATAACTCACATCCCAATCAAGATACAAAACATTTTCTTAATCCTAGTACATTTTTTTCTGCCCCTTCCCAATCAGTGTCCTTTTCTGTTCCACCCCTACCAAAAGCAAGTAGTGGTTTGGTTTCTATCACATAGATTCATTTTGTCCATTCATATAAAGGGAATTACACATCATTGATTCTTTTTTGTTTGCCTTTTTAAAATTCACCATAATGTATTTGAGATACATCCATATTGTTGCATGCAGCTGTAGTTTGTTTCTTTTTATTACCAAGTACTATTTCATTGTATGAATATATCACAGTTTATCCATTCTACTATTAAGACAATTGGGCTATTTCTAATTTTTGGCTGCTATGAATAAAGCTGCTACAAACATTTTTGTACAAGAGTTTTTGTAAACATAGGAGTTCCTTTATTTTAAATAAATAACTAGTCATATAATCACTAGGTCCAGTAATTTGTGACAGGCAGGAATGGGGGACAATTGCATTGTGCCCAAGTAATAATAAAACTATTTCAGATGTATTATATGATTGAGCAAATGAGAAAACATGTCGATGTTGATGTTGATGTTGATGGGAGTCAGGATGTCCACTGTGGAAAAATGAACATACAAATATGAAATGAGGGAAGGCAAGAAAGAACCATGTGGAAATGGAATAGAATTGATATAAATTCATAATTTCTAAACCATGTATATGTACATTTATATGTATTATAATTGCATACACATGCCTGCATGCATATATGTGTGTGATATTAGACATGCATCTATGTGTGTGTATATATGTGTGTGTGTGTATACACATGCATATATTTACTAATTCTATCTGCCAAAAGGGCTTAGACACAAAAACACCTCAGCAGAAATGAATACACCTAACACTCAGATCTTCGTGTCTAATATAATTTGCCACTAAAAGGAACCAGGGCTACCTGGAAAAATGGCTGATTCCAAAGCAAGGGCAAGGTAGAAAAAAAGATGAGCCTGAAATATCTTGTTGTGCCAGAAAGTAATGTTCAAAAAAATAATAGGTATACTGCCAAAACATAGAGCCTGCTTGAAGGGGCTCCCATTGGCCAAACTTGAGCCAATTTGAGAGCAAAATAGTTGAGAAAAATAATAAATTATAAACCATTGGGAAAAAATAGAAATCCATGAATCCATACTGATATAATGATACATAATCAATAGATAGGTAGATAGATAGATGACTAATAGAAGATAGATAGATAGATAGATAGATAGATAGATAGATAGATAGATAGATAGATAGACAGACAAATGAGAAGGTGTCTCCTTTACAACAGAATGTCATGGGCCAGCTGGTAAATGTGGTGAAAGGAGTTCTGGAATTGGAAAACCATGATTTTTCAACCATCACAGTAAATACAGCTCAGGCAAGAATTATCAATCAATGCTAAAGCTAGGGGGAAATTTTGATTAAGAGCAGGATATTAGGATATTATTCTGGGCTTAAAGTATCTCCTCACAGATTGTTTGTTAGTTTCTGGGGAAAGAACAGTAACTATGCAACGGAAAAAAAAATGGACAACCTCTTGACTGGGTTATCAAAATTAACCTCACCAATAAACTGTGGATGTTCAACATGTGCCTTCAAATGTGACACACTGGGAAGGAAACAATATCGCTTTAACAAAAACAACAGAAAAAGACAGGGGGTTTTGACTGAATTCTTAAAAAATGTCAATATCATAGAAGACAAAGAAAAGTTGTGGAAATGTTTCAGATTAAATTATATTAGAAACACCTGAGAACTAAACATAGTAAGTGATACTAGACTGGATCCTATACTAGAGGTAACATAAATGCTCCAAAGGACAATGTTAGGTCAATTGGCAAATTGGAATATAGACAGTCAATCAGATAACAAGTATACTTTGATTAAGTAAAAGAATATTCCTATTCTTGGAAAATACACAATAAAGTATTTTGAGGTAACGGGCCATAATGTATGCAATCTACTCTCAAAAAATTCAGAAACATATATTTGTGTGCATTTGTGTGTGCAACAGTATACACAAACATACATAAAGAGAACAATTGATAAACAAATGAGGTAAAATTTAACAATAATATGATACACATAAATAGAGAAAGAGAGCAATTGATAGAGCAAATGAGATAAAATTTAACAATTGAGTAATCTGAGTAAAAGGTATGTGTGTTTTCTTTGAGATAGTCTGATTTTTGCAACTTTTTCCGTAAGTTGGAATTTACTTCCAAACACGATTGAAAAAAAAAAAAAAACCTTGCCCTTGGCAACTTCGTCTCTTTTTCAGCCTAGAAATGTCTGTGTTAAGTGGTTTTTTGTTTATTGTTGTTGTTTGCTGCTGTTATTGTTTTGTCCCCAGGCTCCAACTCAAAAAATAAGAGTTTAAAAATTGCATTGTTATTTTTAGAGATTTGTGATAATACAACTTGTTATAAAATGCATTCCTCAATAAAGATAATTTCTCTATTATGCAAAAATTATGAGTGCTTTTTATTTTCATAACAGAAAATGTCAAACTGCACTGATAAGAAGGAAGGTAAAATAATCATTTCAGCTAACAGTATATTTGTTAGATTTGAAAAAGATTTTAAAACAACCATAAGAGAGGAAAAATAAAACAAAACTTGAAGTTTTAGTAAATTTGGGCTGCTGCTACAGCAAAACAAAAATAAACTGAATATCTAATAAACAACAGAAATTTGTTTCTCACAGTTCTGGAGGCTGGTAAGTCCAAGATCAAGGTGTAGCAGATTAAGTGTCTAGTGAGGCCTGGTTTCCTGGTCCATAGATAGCATGTTCTGGCTGCATCCTCACTTGGTAGGAAGGGAAAATGAGATTTCTTGGGCTTCTTTTATAAGGACCCTAGTCCCATTCATGAGGGCTCTACTCTCATTACATAATCACCTCCCTAAAGGTCCTGCCCCTTAATACCATCAACTTGGGAGTTAGGATTTCAGCATATAAATTTAGAGGTACACAAACATTCAGACCATAGTACTTGGGTTCTGTAATATTCAAAAATAGAATCAGAATATAATTTTCATTCTCTAATTCTTTTTTAATATAACACAATGGTTAAGAACACAGTTAGAGGCAGGACTAGCTTGCAGCCCTGCTCCAATGGACAGAGCAGCATTAAGACTTTTGCTTCAAGAACTACCACAGGAACATACCAGGAAAGCTGAGAGAATCCACAGACCCTTTGAAGGAACTGGATCACCACTGCAGGCTCCCTGAGATGCCAAAAAACTGTGAGTCTACTTGCTTTCTCGATGAAGTGGCTCGTGGTCTGGGGAAACTTCTCAGCCCTGGTCACAGGTTTCCTGGAAATACACTCGGTGCTACTGGAAGGCTAAAGGGGGAATGAGGTTGGCCTTTGGGACTGTGGGCTGCATGTGAACAGGGTGAGGCCTGTGACTGACAACTTTCCCCCACTTCCTTGGTGACCTGTATGACTCAGCAGAGGCAGCCATAATCTCCCTGGAAATATAACTTCATTGGCCTGGGAATCACACACCCATGCCCCACAGCAGCCACAGCAAGTCCCATCCAAGAAGAGTCTGAACTCAGACACACCTATCACTATCTACCTGGTGGTCTTTCTCTACCTACCCTGGTAGTCCAAAACAAAGGTCATAATCTTTGAAGAGCTCTATGTCCCCGCCCACCACCTGGGAAACCCGAACCCTTAACCAGGGGTTCCTAGAGCAAGTTTGCATCCTCCCTTTCAAAAGCACCACCTCCTGGCTGGAAGCCGACCAACACAAAACTAGCACAATAAACAAAAACAAAAGCACAGAGTCCACTTTACTTCCTTTCTACCTTCCCCCAGAACAGGTGCTGGTATTCACAACTGCAAGACCTGAAGACAGATCACATCACAGGACTCTTTGCAGACACTCCCTAGTACCAGCCCAGAACCCAGTAGCTCCACTCGGTGGCTAGACCCAGAAGAGCAAAAACAATCACTACAGGTTGCTTCTCAGGAAGCTCCATTTCTAGGGGAAGTGAGGGAACATCACATCAAGGGAGCACCCCTGGGACAAAAGAATATGCTCATTCCTTCAATCCTAGACCTTCTCTCTGACATAGCCCACCCAAATAAGAGGGAGCCAGAAAAACAATTCTGGTAATATGACAAAGCATGTTTCTTTAACACTCTCAAAAGATCATACCAGTTCACCAGCAATGGATTCAAGTCAAGATGAAATTTCTGAATTGCCAGAAATAGAATTCAGAAGGTCGATTCTTAAGCTAATCAAGGAAGCACAAGAGAAACGTGAAGTCCAACTTAAAGAAATCAAAAACATGATACAGGATATGAAAGGAAAATTCTTCTTTGAAATAGATAGCATAAATTAAAAAAATCACATCTTCTGGAAATAAAGGACACACTTAGAGAAATGCAAAATGCACTGGAAACTCTCAGCAATAGAATCAAACAAGCAGAAGAAAGAAGATCAGAGCGTGAAGACAAGGCTTTTGAATTAACCTAATCCATCAAAGACAAAGAAAAAAGAATTTTTAAAAAATGAAAAAAGCCTCCAAGAAGTTTGGGACTAAACCTAAGAATAATTGGTGTTCCCAAGGAAGAAGAGAAAGTTTGGAAAACATATTTTGGGAAATAATTGAGGAAAACTTCCCTGGCCTTGCTAGAGATCTAGACATCCACATACAAGAAGCTCAAAGAACATCTGGGAAATTCATCACAAAAAGATAATCACCAGGTTATATAAAGTCAAGGCAAAAAGAATCTTCAAAGCATTAGGTAACTTGTAAAGGAAAACCTATCAGATTAACAGCAGATTTCTCAGCAGAAACCCTATAAGTTAGAAGCAATTGGGGTCCTATTTTTAGTCTCCTTAAACAAAAACAATTATCAGACAAGAATTTTGTATCCAGCAAAACTAAGCTTCATAAATGAAGGAAAGATAACAATATT